AATTCCTACTCAACGCTGTAGGTCCATGTTTTCAGGAGGACACCGGTGTGCCTGCCCGTGTCCTCCTGCTTGTGTCTCCCAGGGACCCCCTTCCACACTAGCCCAGGGCCTCAGGGGAGCTCCAGCTTCCTGCCTGGATCTCCACTAGACTCCACTAGAATTCTGGGTTCTCCATCCCCACAGTGTGGCTTATCGCCTACCACACCGTGGCTCCTCCTGTAACTGAGCCCTTCTAACCATGGAAAAGGGGGTTAAAGATGGCCCACAGCAGCCGAGCCCTCGGTTTCCTGCCTCTGAGAATCTCTCCACATGAAGAGTAAACGATAGTGTCTTTCTGGGCTGGGCTGTGTCAATGGGTTTCTACCACAGAACAAGAACACGGGGATGCCGTTGGCCACCACCAGTGAGGAGACGAGAGCTATATGAGCTTCCCCGAAGTGAGACCCTGACCTGTAAAATGAACAGATCACTTGGAGGAAGACCCGACGCCTGCACGTGGCCTGCCGGCATCTGAGCGATGGCCATGTCTTGTGGGTTCTCCTTCTACAACATCTCTCGCTTCCCTTCTCTCGGCTCTTCCAGGCTCAGACCCTCACTGGGCTCCCGGCTTCCATCCACTCCCCTTCCCATCCCCGACACAGCCACCAAACTGATAATCCTACAGCGTGGCTCTGACCACACAGCGACCGCGCACAGAGCTCTTAGATGGCTGCAACGTGCACAATCTTCTGTAGCCGAGTTACTCAAAAACATTCCGTGGCTCCCTACTCCCTTTGGATAAAATACAAAATTCCTAGGCTGCGTTCAAAGCCCTCTACAACATGGCTCCCACATGCCTCTCGGCCTTATTTCATATTGTTCCTTTTCACACACTCTCTGTTCCCTGCTCACACTGGCCGACTGCTGGTTTCTCACACAGGACATGTCATCTACTTCCTCCATGCCTTTGCATAGCCTGCCCCCAGAGTCTCCTGCCAAGCGCAGCTTAGTTTAGGGGCTACCTCCCAGTAATTAACACTCATTCCCTCTTCAAGCTTCTCCACATGTCCTTAACAGTCTGCACACTGCACCCCTCCCCCCCAGGAGGATGGAAGCTTCTTTAGGGAAGGAACTGGTGGGGTTTTGGTTTCAATGCCCTGTCACCCCAACCCCAAGCCCAGAGCCTTGAGTGTGGACCTATGATGCTATTGCAGTAGGCAAGGTAGCTTAGAGTGTGAGAGTCACCTGCGCTAGAGAGGCCAAGTTAACTTTCACAGCTGGGGCCGCGATCATGCATTGGGCACTGGGCCTAGAGTTAGGAAGACCTGAGTTCAAATCCCACCTTGGACATGCCTCAGCTTTGTGACATTGGACGAGTCACTTAACCGCTGTCTACCTCAGTCTCCCCATCTGTAAAATGGGGGTCATAACAGCACCTACCTAACACAGTTATTATAAGGATCAAATGCGGTAATAATTTGTTTGTTTGTTTGTTTTAGGCAATTGGGGTTAAGTGATTTGTCCAGGGTCACACAGCTAGTAAGTGCTAAGTATTTGGTCTGAGGCTGGATTTGAACTCAGGTCCTCCTGACTTCAGGGCTGGTGGTCTATCCGCTGTGCCACCTAGCTTCCCCTTAATGTGGTAATCATTGTAAAGCACGTAGAACAGGGCCTGGCACATAGTAAACACTACACAAATCTCCCCCTTTTTTTCCCCCAGGGTCACAGAACCCACACATGTCAGGGTAGGACTTGAACCCAGGGCTTCCTGCCTCCAAGGTCATCAGTACACCATCCAGGGTCTCAGTCTCCTCAGTCACAAAACGGAGAGGTTGTTCCAGCTGGCCTCTAGGTCCCTTCTGGCTTGAGATACTGATCTAGAACCTCTGACCCTTTGACCACGGCCATGTGGACTCTACCCCCAGCAGGTGCCTAAGAGATGTTTGGTGAATTGATGGGAAAACACTTTCAAATGGGCCACTCCATCCCTGCTTCATCATCTTTGAGAGGCCACAGCCTCCGTGTGAGCCCCGATTCATCAAAGTGACAGCAGTCCAACTAGCAGCCTCCACCCCTTGTTCTCCTCCCCCTGCTATAAAGGGACCCTAATATATGGGGGAGAGAGAAGGGGAGGGCCACAGGAGGTGGGGGCAGGGCGCAGGGAAGCCAAACCTATTTCCCTTGCTCACTAGTGACACTTGGCAGGGACTGAGACCAGGGACGTTGTCCAAGGAAAGAAAAATCGGGGAGGACAGACATAATTGGGAGACCACCCACACCACAACCTACAAAACCTCTGAGTCCGTGACCTCTGCCCTTGCCACATGGGGAGGCAGCAGGGACTTCCCTGGCTACTGCAGCTCTCCAGAGCCCTCTGTGGTTCCCAGATTTCAGTCAATAATCACATCCAGAAACCAGGGGAGAGGAAGAGAAAGAGGGCTTTCTATCTCAGTTCAGAGGAATCATTCATGAGCTGTGGCTCCTTCTCCTAGACAGATTTTCAGGGGATCATTCGACAAAAACCCTAGGGATACAGCAACATCCTGGAAAGAGTGCACAGAGTTAGAAAATCTGGGTTCAAATCTCAGCTCTGCTACTTATGACCCTGGGTGGGTCCCTTCCCTTCTCCTCTTCTATCAAGCAAAGGGGTCAGACCAGCTGGGCCTGAAAGCCTCTGCCAGATTTAAACTAGATCCTTTTTCTGGCTTCCCTGGGGTGGGGGTGTTTTGTTTTTATTGAGTTTTCTTTGCTGGGTAGCCTAGTAGATAGAGTGCTGGACTTTAGGTCAGGAATACTCGAGTTCAAATCCTGCCTCAGACACCTACTAGCTATGTGAGCAAATCACTTGACCTCCTTCAGCCTTGGTTTCCCCATCTGTAAGATGTGGGCAACAAAAGCATTTATTTCACAGAATTTTTAGTTAATACATACATAAAAATGTGTGTGTGTATATATATATATATATAGCATTTTGCAAACTTAAAGAGCTGTATATATAAATGCTAGCTATCATTATTATAATTATTCAACTGTAATTCCCCTGAAAACAGGGATCTCCACTACCCATGGGCCTTGAATGACTCCTACCACAGATTAATGATGTTCAATGATAACGATTCAAATGTGAAAAAGCCATGTGACCAGTCAAGAAGACCCGCATCCAAATCCCAGGTGGGACGTTGACCAGTTTGATGACCCCAAGCCAATCACTCAACCCCTCTGAGCCTCAGTTTTTCCACCTATCGGGTAGGAACAGCCCTAGCAGCCAGGGAGGTCCAAATGAGACAGAGATCTGCAGACTGGACAGCACTCTGTGTCAGTTACCATCACTGAAGGGACCAGAGGCCTCCTTTTAAGGATTCACTCCCTTTGGGGTGGTTCCATGCCTTCCCACACCCTGCCTGCACAGGGGGGCGCTCTGAACACAGCGAGCTGGCGCCCTTTCTCTCTCTGTTTCACTCCTTGGAAACCAAGGTTCTCAGCTGATTGCTTGACCAGACCGGTTAAAGAGCTCTAACGCCCACGATCAATCCATTTGCTGATTTCCCAGCATCTTCACTGGGGTTGCTACCGCTGCGATGGGTGTGAGTTTCTTCTCTGCCACCAGATGAGGCCACCTCAATGTCCCGGGGAGACAAAGCGAGCAGGCTCCCCCAGACGGGCCACCAGCCTCCAGGGATCGGCTCAGGGCGGCCAGTTTCTCATGGTGCCTGTTCCATGGGTCACAAGGCCCCACATCTCTCTCTCTCAGCACCTCCTGACCAGCACCCTGCCTGGTGAGCCCTTGAGGCACAAGGCACAGGAAGACATATGACACGGGGGCATGTAAAGGCCTCTCCCTCAGCAGCCTGAAAAACCTGGAAAACCCAGGAAGGAAGACCAGAAACACAAGGAAAGGCCTCTCCCGGAGGAAACAAAGCAAGACAGTGCAAGGGTCTGTTCAGATTGCTCCCGAAGCCTGAGGGACCTTGGCAGGGGAGAAAATAAAGAAAATAAACAGCAGGAGAGGTTTCTGGGCTGAGAAAAAAGGAAGGGCGTTCAGGGGGCTTTCAGCCTGAGCTGCTCTGGCTAACAAGGTGAGCAACCCAAACACTAACCCTGGGCCCAAGAAGCCAGCTCACAACAGGCCAATTCTCCCCGGTGACCAGGTCATTCCAAAGGAGCCATCTGGGCACTCTCAGAGGCACGTTAACTCTTGCAAACCACCAGAAAACTATTTAGGTGTCAGGTTGTTTTTTTTTAAAAGAGCAGTCCAAGGGTCTAAGAGGATTGTAGACTGAGAGCTACAAAGAGCCTTAGACATTGCTGAATCCAATCATTTTACAGAAAAGGAAACTGAGGTCAGGGAGAACAAAGTCCGGATATGAATTCCCCTCCACACCACAGCTCTTTTCCCTGCTGGGAAAGTCCCCTTGGGTTCAACGGGGCCCACTGAACGGGGAGGGAGGCTGAGTGCACATCTGTGAAACAAAAGATTCTTCTTTATCCTCCATCTATCGAGAGAGCTTCTACTGAGCACCTTCTACGTGCCAGGAACTGGGCCAGGTCTGTGGGAAAGCATCCTTCCCGAATCCTGCTCCTCCCGTCTCCCCCTTGGGGGAATGATCTTGGGGCCCTTCCTGTCTCTAGGCCTCAGCATCCTGACCTGGAAGATGAGAGAGTCAGAGGAGATGATCTCTGGCCTCCGCCGGCCTTCCATTTTGGCCTTCTTGGAATCCAACTTATTTATTACCCTGGGAATGACCTCGGCCCCAGAAGAATATAGTCCCTTAGAATGCCCCCACACAAGAAATGGCTTGCTGAAGAGGAGATGGGGGAAGCATACATTTGGAAATGAAAGAGATCCTAAAATAAAAAGCATCAATTTTTTAAAAAATAAAAACACGGGCAAACATTACCAAAAAAAAAATGACCATGGTGCTCTCCAAAGACCATTTGAGGGCAAGCATCAGCAACACCGACTCAAGTCTGGGAATAGCAGAAACCTGAGAAGCGGGAGGCAGAGACACATCGTCCCTTACCTTCATAGCAGGGGATCAGGGTCCGGCCTTTGGACTGGAGGTTGGCCGGGATGATGTAGCAGAAGCCATGGGGAAGGATGTGATCTGTCTCATAGTAGATGTTTTTCCAGCGATGTGCACAGGCCTGTGGGGAGGACAGTGACAGAAGCATTCAGAGCAGGCCGCGGCTGACCCATTGCCCTCAGGGTTTCAGGCACAATGGAGGGGTGCTCCAGGATGTTTAGTGGTTGGAGGTAATGAGGCAGAGAAGCCCTCTGGGCCACCTTGCCCCAAACACATACACACATACACACACACACACACACACACACACACACACACACACACACACACACACACACACACACTGAGCTCAACTGATCACCAGGACCCCTCTGAGACAGTCTTAAGGTGAGCACTGCCAGGACCCAGAGATGTCTGAGATGACAGACATTTCTTCTAGCATTAACTAACCTAGATTCTCCTTCCAGGACACTGCAGGGCAGCCAGCCACGTCCACAAGACACAACCAGGACCGGCAGATGGCTAGCCAGCCATGCAATGTCCAGTGGGCAGGCCAAGCCCTCCTCCCACAGGGGGATGGGGAGACCCACCCACATAGGAGAGATTTTGCTTTCTTAAAGTACCAAACCAAGCCTATTTGATCAATCAAAATAATTAAGGTTGGCTCATGAATATTCCCCACGTACAAGTGCTTCAGACACACTGCATTATCCCTGGCTCTCTGCCAAAAGGTCTTGCCCTTTCTCTAGTAATGTGACCAACAGACAATAGAAATATGGCATCCCATGGAACTATTAACTAACGGTGAGGAGACAGTTTCATGAGTTCAACATTAATTGCTGATACTTTAAATAAGAGAGAGAGGACACGAGGTAGTGTCAAGAAGCCCCGGGCCTCAGTTTCCCCACCTGCTGGTGTCCTTTCACCACCACCCCACCAACCACCTTGTCTTGCACTATGATTCCTGCGCAGCTGTATTCTGCTCTATGCCGCAGCCTACTCGGGCTGCTCCATAGCCCTCGGGCCAGAGGTAGCGGGGGCAGAAGGTGCTGCATGTCTGTAAATCCCTGACCGCATTTGTATTCCAATATTGGTAAAATGCCAGTACTGAAAAGATGTGTTTTGGCTACCTGAGGAAGGTCGGGGGTCAGCAAAAAGAGTCCTGCAGCTTCCCAAAAGCAATCTAGCTCTTCTTCCCTGTCAACTGAGGGCCCCACTCATATGAGAAGGGGAATGCTGGTAAATGTTTAACAACCAGCTCTGGGGGGATGGGGGATGTAAGCACAGCACACTTTTAAGTTTAACCTGAATTACTGGCGTTTCCTCCATCACTCTCTGAAGTCTGAACGATCAGTGGAAACAACAAATCAAGGCCCGGTTTGTAGCGTTTATCCATTTCCAAGGTGAAAACGCTCACCCTGAAAATTGAACAATCAGCTCTTGTAAGCCAGATCAGGCTGGCTCCCACCTGGCTCTGGATAAGAGGAACCCCAAAAAGGAAAACGAAATGACATCATCAAGGAATTGTACAGCAGGAAGAGAAGATGGGCTGGTCACGTGGCAAGAGTGAGGGGTGAAAAGGGGGACAGCCAGAGAGCTCCACAGGGGAGAAAGGAAGGAAGGCTGCCAGCACACGAGGAGGATCCTTGGTGAATTTACAGGAGGGCACACGCAACCTAAATCACACAGCATGGGCAGGCGTGGGCAGGCGTGGGCAGGACACGATCGGAAACATTGACAGAAACGCCCTAATGACGAGATCTATTTGAGTATTTGAATATTTTTATTTTGTAATAAGAATAGCTCGCATTTACATAGCACTTTCAGGTTTATAAAGTATTTTATGTATGATATATATTAAAATCATGTGTATATAAAAAATCTCATACATGTATGTATGTATATGTGTATATACATACATATACATATATATACATAAAAAATGAAGATTTATCTTGTAGGGTTCTAGTGAAGATCAGGTTTTATATATGTATATATATATATATTACATATGTATACATGTATAGGTATGTATATGTATGTGTGTGTGTGTATATATACACACACAGATGTATATAGACAAAAACTGATCTTCACTAGAACCCTACAAGATAAATCTTCATTTTAGGGATAAGGAAACTGGGTCTGAGAGGTTCTGTGCCTTGCCCCGGGTCACACAGATACGAAGCATCTGAGCCAGATTCAAACTCCAATCTTTCTGACGTATGCTCTAACCATTGGGCCACACTGATTCCTACGTATAGAGGTGCTTATTTCTCCCCCATTAGACTGTAAGCCTCTGAGAGAAGAGATTTTCTTTCTGCATCTGTATCACAGTGCCCGCCCAGCATGCAGAAGGCATTTAATCAAAGCTAGCTGACTAAGATTTTAGCAAGGAGGTTGGACTGTATTCTGCCTTCTTAGAGGCCACATCTCTGTTGAACGGGGCAGTGCAGTCCAATGCTCTCCTTACTCATTCCTAACCTCTGACATTCACACGGTTGTTTTATGGGATAAAACAGGGCATTGTTGTCCGCCATATCGTAAACAGCCTTCCTTCCTCCTATTCTGACTGTTTGGTGCTAAAATAGCCTGCTTATCAAAGCACTGAAAATACCATGAAGATCGATGGGAACCGTAGAAATACATCGCCGGACAAATGGCCATTCCTGTTGAACGAGCAAAGTCGCATGTCTTATGTCTGGCCACCTTGATGGCTTGTAAACTTCTGGCACCATGATTCAATTCTTAAGTAAATCAATCATCTGACAGGTTGTGGGCACAGTGGAGGGGAGTCCTTGGTTACTAGAGCCTAGAGCTCTTCATCACCAGGTCTCCAAGCTGTCTCTAGACCAAGGACAAACAACTGTGCACTCTGAGACTCACAAGAAGGAACCCATTGCCCTTAATTACTCATTTTTTTAAGCAAATACTGCACTCAGCACAGCTAGGTATTGGGCAGCTGGGTGGCGCAGTGGATAGAGCGTCGGGCCTAGAGGTTCAAAACTGGCCTCAGACACTATGTGACCCTGGACAAGTCACTTCACCCTGTTGGCCTCAGTTTCCTCATCTGTAAAAATGAGCTGGAGAAGGAAATGGCAAACCACTCCAGTATCTTTGCCACGAAAACCCCAATTGGGGTCACAAAGAGTCAGACACGACTAAACAATGAAGTGCTCACCAATCACATTTTTAATTTCAAGTACCACGAGCAATTTATTTCAGAAATGACAGATAAAAATTGGGGGTGTGGGGAAGGCCAAGATTCCCATGTCCAATCCTAATACTAAGATGACCTCCAGCCCTCACAAGCAGGTCAGCACCCAGAGTTAGAGGAAGGGGAGCCAAAATAAAGTTTCTCCAAACGTATCTTGTGGGAAGAAAAGACAGAGTGTCTTTCACTGAGGAAAGACAGCATATCTCAATATCCACATTCATGCTCTCCTGCCCTTTGTTTTGGTTTTTTTTCCCCAAAAAAATATCCTAGAAACTACTCTCCCTAGCACTAATTAGTCCATTAATCTTTCCCAAGGAGCCCCTTGGGTGGAAAAGGAGGCCTAAGGAACACGAACAGGAAGGACATCCGCCTTCCTGAACCTGGCAGCCTGTCTTGGCCAAGCCATGGAGACAGGAGGACATGAGAAAGAATGGGAGGGAGTTACTGGCTCAGAGACGCAAGGACTGACCCAATTTCTGGGGCCTGACAAGCCTTCCCTTCAAGGCTGACAAGGGGAGAGCGACAAGAAGCATTTCGTGACAACCACCTCCTCTGAACTTTCAGAGCTAAGTGAATCATTTCCAGCGACTTGGAGCCTCCCAATTCCATGCAAGCTATCATGAGGGCAGCACGGCGCTAGGCACAGGGGAGAGAGACCAGTTCGTACCTACTGGAAGTCTTTCTTCACCAGAGATACCCACCCGTGTAAGCCCAGCTACACGTCGCCGAGAAAGCCAAGGACAAAAGCAGAGGAAGGACGCCGGCCATGCTTGCTTACACAGGGGGACCGTTTCCAAGGCCACAAGGCTCTCCCGGTCATTTGGCTGAGCCCCGATCCCAAAGCAGATCCATGAAACAGATGGATTCTGCCGCTGCTTGGGAAGGACAGAGCAGGAGGATGAGGAGGAGCAGGGCTAAGGGCCTCCATCTGGGACCTTCACCCCTGCTGGATCTGGGGGCTCCCCCCAACAGGGACAGCTCCCTTGACTCGTGCGGTGGCTTTAGCCCAGCCAAGAGGGTTAGCTTTGCCATCGCTGGGCAGACACAGTGAAGCAGCGTGGTGCCGTGGACAGAGGAGGGGCCCTGAAGACGTGGCACCCGGCTTCAAACCCTGAGGCTGCCACGTATTACCTATGCGGCCTCAGCTATAACATAAGGGGGGCACTAGAAGGCTTCTGGGGTCCGATGCTCCTAAACTCTGCTTCTGACACAAGCTGCTTTGGCACTACAGACAAGTCCCTCAGGCTTCCCGCGCCCTGGAGCAAGGCTCTGAGACTCTGAGTGAGGAGGAGCAGAGGGAGGGCCCTAGAACAGGCCTCTTCCATACTAACAAAATTACAGGTCTGGTGAGAAAAAATCCATTAAGAGAAATGCCATTGTTCCTGCCAAGCCATTCGTAAACGTGAGTCAAAGGCTATGATGGCCCCGATGACATTGAAGGCCAAGAGGAGGCTCCCACCAGTTCCCAATGGATTGTTTACCATCTCGTTCAGCCTGAGTGTGGGGAAAAAGTCAGTGCCCCCCTCACCATGGAGCATCCACATAACAGAAGGTACCCTCACAGCCCAGCAGGCACCTGCCAGGCCGGGCATGGAGCCCCGGGCACTGGCTTCCATGTTTGTGTTTCAGTACAGAGCTGTTCTTCATCGAGACTCTTCCCAGACTGGCAGGGCCCACCAATCCTTCTGTCCTTAGAACCAGCATCGGCCACATTCCCAAACAGCTGCCCCACCCACTGTACTGCATACGAACCCATCTCGGCTGTTCACTTCTCATCAGCCCCCTGAGACATCACAGCTAGGGATCTCAACCCTGATTCTGCAAAATCTCCAGGCCAGGAGGACAGTGAGGACAAAGGCAGAAAGTCACAGGACAAGTTTGCTGAGCAATGGGAAGGCAGACCAGCCTGGCAGAAAAGTAGGGTTTGCCCTGGAGATTCTTAGGAGATAAAGCTAGTAAGCGGCTGAGGTTGGATTTGAACTCAGGTCCAGGCCCAGCACTCTCTGCGCTGCACCACTGGCTGTCTCTTAGCATGAGGACGCTGAGGCCAAGCACACCATCACTGGTAAGGGGCTTACTTAATTCCAGCATCCCTGGGGGTGGGGGAGCGGTGAAATTCTGTGAGTTTCACTACAATGGATCCTGGCAGAATGACAGACTGTCAGAGGAGGAAAAGGGCTCCGGGGCCATCTTGTCTGACCCATTCCAGAACAAACAGTTATCCAGCCTTAGATTCAAGACCTCCAAGGAAGGGGCCATAGGGCCCTAGACTCAGTGGAGACACTGAGGCACCCAGAGGCCACAAAGGTCGCACAGGTGGGGTCAGAAGTGGGATCTGAATTCAGGTCTTCCTAAAGCCAGGTGCAGCCCTCTGTACTACAGGGAACCCCTATCCCCGAGGGAGCCCGTGGACCTTCAGTGACCTTCTAACTTTTAGGAAGTTTTTCTAGACATCAAGCCTAAATTATCACAACTGCCATCGGGTGCTTCCAGGATTCCCTTCCCTCAGTCACAGTCCTCCCAGTCTGGGTTAGTTCATCCCTCATGTTTGGCTTTGCCCCTGACAGTCTCTCTGCCTCACCTAGACTTAATCACTGAATGGGTGGTGCCTCAGTCAAACTGAGACCTAGGAAAGACCTTAGCTCAAAAAGGCCAGGGTCTCCCACTGCACGGGGGCCATCTCCAGTCGTCCTGATCTACACCTGGCCACCGGACCCAGATGGCTCTGGAGGAGAGGGCAAGGCTGGTGACTGCCCAGCCCTGCCTCACTGTAATCCAGTCCACTTGCACGTCACGGCATCACCCCCCTAAAGTCACTGTCCACTTCAACAATGAAGGACAAACGACAACAGCCCTTTAATGATCCTGTTTGCTCTTCTGGCCTGCCTGTGAGTCCTGCAAGACCAGGAAGTGCCTATTAGAGCCCATCTTTCGACCCTAGGATTCAATGAGTCAAGTGTTTAGTAAGCACCTGCTGTGTGCCGAGCAGGCACTGAACAGACCAAGAAAAAGAGGCCTAGATCTGTGCCCTCCAGCCCAGGCTCAGAGAGCCCCTCCCTGGTCACCACAGCCTCTATTAGAATGTGACCACCTCGAGGGCAGGCCTTATCTTGCTTTTTTATCTGCAGCCTCAGTGCTTAGCCTCGGGCGCCCACCATACAACAAGTGCTTAATAAAAGTTTTCTCATTTATTCATTTAGAGCTGGCCACCAAGTCCAACCTCTCATTTTGCAGATAAGGAAACTGAGGCACAGAGAGGTTTAAGTGACCTACCTAGGGTCACACAACTGAGGTGGGATCTGAACCCAGCTCTTCCTAACTCCAAGTCAATCCCTTATCTATGGCAATCAACCATACCATCAACTAGCATTCATTAGACCCTAGGGATGCAAAGACAGAAAAGAAAATAAGATGTATTCTATTAGGGGAACCTCTAACAACGTCCCATCCAGTGCATGGTCTCCAACAAAAGTCATGCTATCGGCAGCTCCGAAGGAGACGCATAAAAAGAAGCCAGCCAGGGATAACGAGAGAGCCATCTATGCCTCTGCGATGTCCCACCGTGGCACAGGAGTCTGGGCACCAGATGCAGGGTCAGGAGAGACCCACCTCTGAGATTCATCCCTGTGGCCAAGCTGCCTACCCTCTCTGAGCCTCAGTTTCCCCATCTATAAAATGGAGATAACAATATAGGCGAGTACCAACCTACAGGTTTGTTACCAGAACCAAATGAAGTAAATGTATGCGTACAGCTTGGCCATCCTTCAAGCACCTGTAAATAACCATTGTCTTATTGTCCTACTCCTCCACCCTGTAAATTGTATGCACCTAATATAAGGCAATGATTGATTGTAAGCACTGACATTTATACCATTATCCAAAGCCCTCCACACATATTAACTCATTTGAGACCCACAAGAACCCTGGGAGGTGAGAAGCGTTATTACTCCTCATCTTAGAGATGAGAATAATGAGGCTGGGAGGAGCAGGATTTGAACGCCTCTTCTAACTCCAGGTCCGGCAGGCTCTCCTCTATGCCTATGCGACGAGCGCCCAGCACACAGTCAGTAAGATCTGACACAAAGTCATCGGCCCTTCAGATCGCCAGCCACCCCACCACACCCTGGGACCCGGAAGAGGGCAGAGCGGCTCACCAGCACTTGGCCATCAGCTTTGGGCTGCCGCGCCAGGCTGACCCCCATCCATTCATCGTCCCTGTCTTCTTTACAAGTCTTTCCACAAGACGTGCCTCGACTCTTTCCTGGAAAGACAACAGAAAACACAGTTTTCAGTGGGTGGGGGCATCATTCTCTGGTTCCTCTGGCTTTGTTAGCTTTCCATCATTTTTCTCTACTGATAAAAAAAAAAAGCCGTCATTTCTCCTCATTAAAAAAAAAATTGAAACTACATCACAGAAAAGAGAGAGAGTGAACATGCAAACAGGAAATTACAGAGGACAGAAAATCAGAGGGCAGGGTTTACCTCCGACACCCTCCCAAAGGGGAGCTGACCCACCTCGAACCATGTCCAGTTCTGTGCACCTCCGGTCTGGGTTAGTGTGGACTCGACATTTAAAAACCGCTCCAGGGGACTTCACAGAAGTACTGTACTTTGAATCTGCCTTCGGAGCACCGACGAGGACCCTGAACACCAAATGAGAAGAAAAGAAATGCATCAGCACAGAGGAGAATGGTGGCCAGGGTCTCCTTGGCTCACCAGAGCTAGAGGTGGCAGGGACAGCAGAGGCCACCTCGTCTAGCCACTTCATTTTACAGCTGAGGAAACTGAGGCCGAGTAGTAAGGTCAGAGGCAAGATTTACACCCAGGTCCTCTGGTTCCAGCCACAGCTCTCTCTATAAAGTCTAGATCATAGAATCCTAGTTCTGGCACTAGAAGGTCCTCAGAGGCCACCTGGTTCCCCCCCTCCTTTTAAAGATAAGGAAACTGAGGCCCAGAGGCTTGACAGAAACATGGCGGAGGAACATTGGCTGAGCAGCACAGCCCAGAGTCAAAAGGAGATGACCGTGGATTGCCTTTCGATGACTTCTCTCCTTCTGGCCCAGCTCCCCGAAAGGTCTGGAAGCCTGCTATCTTTCCCCTTCCTTCCCACCACGCTCCCTACCCCAACAATGCTCCACAATCCAATCACCCCCAACCCACAGCGAGGGGGAAAAGCAGCCGAGATGAGGCAGCTGCATTTCATTATAACGGCAGTTAAGGACATGGTGAATATCAGTGATGGAATGATTCACAGACAATAAAGCAGAGGGAAACAAAACAAACTCGGCATCCTTTCCCTCCTTGTAAACCCAAAGAGCTCCTAGGACCACTTGGGACGGTGGTGGCAGGGACTGTCCCAAGAGGGAAAGCTGAGCCCGTGAGGCAGAAAAGACTTGCCCAGAGTGTCGGGGGTCAAAAAGAGGACCACAGGACATCTCCATTCCAAGAGCCTCGTGTCCAGCTCAGTCCAGTTTAAATGCCTCATTTCACAGGCATCAGAGTTGTGGAGGGCCCCAGGTGGGCAGGCTTTTGTGCCCACTGACCCATTCGGAAAGGTGACTCCTTCCTTCTTTTACTGAGACACCTTGAACTAGAGAGGCAGACTGCTTTGTGCGGGTCTCCCAGGTCTCCCAGTTATTCTTCACTCGACTCAATAAACACCTTCTATGTGCTGGGCTCCAAAACAAGAAACAACGCCTGCCCTCAAGGAGCTTCCATGCTACTGGGGGGAGGGGGAATATGCACCTCGGAAAATGAATACAAAACAGTAACCAGGAAGGGAGCAACGAAGACTAGGAAGGTCAGAAAAATCCTACTGCAGGGGATGGCACTCGGATTGAAACCTTGAAGGGAGGTTAGGATTCCAAGAAGCAGAAGTGAAAAAGAAAAGGTGTTCTGGGCATGAGGGACAGCCCATGCAATGGCGCTGCGGTGGGAGACAGAGCCTTGTATACCAAGAACAGTAAGGGGGCCAGTAAACTGAAAAATAGAATGAGGGGGAATGAGGCAGACAACAGCTTTCCCCATCTCCCTCACCCACAGTTTAGCAGCCCAAAATTTCTATCCACCAATGCTGATCAGAAGAGTGGGGCGTGGCCCAGGATTTCTGCAGGGATGGTGAGCAGGAGCTGGATAATAAAAGCTGCTGGTGTGTCACTGATTAGTGGCAGATGGAACGGTGGCTGTCCGGGGGGCCACAGCACGGAGGCAGGAGCCAGAGCTGGCAGGGACAGATCACTTGGTGAGGTCAGAGGGGGCCTGAGCACTGGGAAAGGGGCTGGTAGCCCCGGACAAAGGACATCCCCTTTTGTTGTCACTGTGGGGTGCTGGGGAAGGGGGCAGCGTGTGTGGGTATCAGTGTTGCAGACTTACAGCTCACACACATATACACTCATGTACATACACATACATGCACAAGTGTGTGTGTGTGTACTACGCGCTAGTATGAGAAAGAAAGTCATGGTGAACCAGGAGCTCAGCTTCGTCCAGTGCTGCCCATCCGAATGCCCCTGGCTGGTTTAGCCCTCCCACCCTGCCCCATCCCATCCCTGGAGAGCCCTGGGCACAGGGGATACGGGGAACCTGGCAAAAAGCCGGGCCTCCCGGTTCTCACTGGGAAGGTACTTCCTACATCTGGTCTTTCCCCACCCCTAAGAGTAAGGAGCTGCACAGCTTCATGGTAGAGGGAAAGAAGCCATGGATCGAATAGAGAGGGGCAAGGCAGCTCAGTAGATACAGTTCAGGGCACAGAGTCAGGAAAACCTAAGTTCAACTCCCACCCCCCAGCCCTTAACTGATCGACACGCTGTCCCTCAACCCCATCACAGATGTCATTTTGGTCCTCTTCAAGCACAAAGGATAACAATCAACCAACCCACCTAATAGTTAGCAGTGACATCACCCTAGGCAAATGACTTTCCCTCTTCCAGATGCAGTTTACTCATCTGTAAAATGGGGATAACAATACCTATCGGACCTACCTCCCAGGGTTGTCAAATGAGATCACGTCTGTAAAGTACTTTGCAAACTCTCAAACAATCAATAAATGTCAGTAATCAGGATTATCACCTCTGTTCTAAGCCAGCGCCCTTCTCAGGCAAACCCCAGTGCCTCCCTCACCCGCAGACCACCACCCGGGCCTGATCTCACTTAAACGCACAGTGATGTGTGGACCAAAATGAAAACGAGAAGAAAGACACGTGAAGGGATCCATTTCCCCTCTGTCTCACGGGCTAACCCTTAGAATCACAAAGGGGGGGGCAGCCCTCCGTCAGGCCAGCAATGTTTTCACAAGTGAGAGGAATTAATGGCTTGACATGCCTAGGCAGCAGAATCTGACACAGTGGGTCTCACACTGGAGAGCGAGCTCGGGGGAATCCCCCCAAAGTGCCCCCACAGATGCACATCTGTCACCAGGTAAAATGGTACAAACTCCTCCTGGCATTTCATTCATTTGTTCAGGTGATTCCAACACCCCAGAAAAACAAACAAGGTGAGGGAACACATCATGGACAGAAGGAGGGATGATGAATTCGGAATGGGAAGGGGCTGGATTACAGCAGCGGTCACCTAACCCAAACCCTTCGTTTTACAGATGAAGGAACTGATGCTCAGAGATTCAGTTTCTTGACTAGCCACGATGTGGCCAAGTGGACAGCGCCCTGGACTTGGAGTCAGGAAGAGCTGAGCTGGAATCCTACCTCAGGCGCTTAGCTAAGAGACCCTGGGCAAGTCACTCACTGGGCTTGAGTCTCCGCTTGTAAAATGAGGATGATAAATACCTGCATGGAGGGGCAATGGGGAGAGACACCCTCCTCAGAATAAGGAGGTTCAAGTCTCACGTCTGACTGTGCTTTCCAAGAGTAGATGCTGATCTGCATTGGGGAGTTTTCTATGCCTAGGTCTCCAAGTCCAGCCCCAAGGTGTGTGTTAACTAATCACAGGGGGAGAAAATGGATCAAATCCCACTCTACCCATGACAGACAATCATGGAGTTTGTCTCCAACAGAAGCAATCTACCCTTATCCCCCAATACTCCCAGATCCTGTCCTATCTTTCCACTATACAAACTCCAAAAACCCCCTTCCTCTGCTGAATCTGGACAGCTTCTCAGGGCAGTAATAATCTAAAGGCTAGCCAGACACCTGTGCAGGCAGCATTAGGAAAATTCCACCATTCCCCCAACATCCCCACTTACTGTGACTGGTGAGTCAAAAAAAGTTCCCCTTTTTTACTTTGGGTGGAACAGCAAGAGTCCCGTATGGGTGGTTTACGACGGATCTCACATCTCAGCACACCACACCCAAATCCACCCCTCTTCCAAGGGCACCGTGACCCTTCCAGTCACCCAGGTCCACAACCTCAGGCCCTTCCTCCTCAATTCCTCATTCTCCCACCCCCAACAACCCTCAATCAGCTGCTGAATCACATCACTGCCAACTCCACATCTCCTCCACTGGTCTCCTCTCCATTGGCACAGCCATTCTGGTCCAGCAAGGTCTCTTCACCTAGACTATTACAATAGGCTCCTAAATGTTCTTCTCGCTGCCTCATCCCTCCCCATTCCATCATTATCATCATTATCACCACCATCACCATCACCATCATCATCACTAGTATCTACATAGTGTCTCAAGGTTTGCAGAGCACTTTACAAATAGTACCTCATCTCATCCATCCTCCATATAGTGACTAAAATGATTTTCCTTAAGTGTAAGCCTAACCATGTCACTCCTGTGCTCAAGGAATTCCAATAGCTCCGTATTATCTCCAGGATCAAATATTAATTCATCTTTATCAAATCCTTTTCCCTTTCCACTTTTATAATATATAAGCATTGGGATGGTAGTACCAGTGATAAGTAATCCTTAACATAGTGCTTAGCACATACTAAGCACTTTAATGCCCTTTCATTCCTTGATTCATTCATGTATATAATGTATATATATGTATGTAGGTATGTGGGTGCATACATACATATAGGGTACATGCTGAAGTCTTTTACCAATCTGAAGGTATACTCTAGAAAGTTTAAGAACGCTAACTAGCCCATGCTAGTGCCATCATAGGTTTTGTCCAAAAATAACAATAATCTATCACACCAACCTCTCCAGGGTTTTAAGAGCAAATGAGCTAATGTCTGTAGAGCACTTTGTGAATCTGAAAATGCCACATAAGCATCAGCAGTAATAATGAGGATAATAATAACAGCAACGACAATACTGTTGTCCAAGGTTAGCAAGTCTCAGGGGAGGAGTCAAACCCAAGCCCACAGCTTGGCCTCCAAAGCAGCCGTCTTTCCCACAAGATCACAAAGAATGGACTGCAGAAGGCAGAAACATGAGGTGGTACCTCTGTCAGCACCAAGCAGTTCCCATGTACCTCACCTTCCAAGCCCCAAACACCCCTTCCCACATCCTCGGTCAGTTTCACCACCAGCGAATGGTCCCGGCCCAAGCCAGAGCTAGGAAGCTCAAGTGGGAGACAGAGCTCCCTTCCCCTCCTCGCCCTCAGGCCCCAGAGCTCTGACAGCAGTGCCTGATTCGAGCCCAACTGGCAAGGAGGAGAGATTTTTCCAAAAGCCTAAGCTATGTAAAATACAGGCATTTGGTTAAGGGCTGGGTTGGGCATGGCCTCGATAGGG